TTTGTAGAGAATTTTCTCCTTGCTCCTAGAATATTCTTCTTGATCTCTTGGATAAAGTGTACTTTTTCATTGATTATATGGTGTCTCCATGGAGCAAAAATGTTAATCTTCGTATTGTAAGTCGATATTAGAAATAGTAAACTGAAAGCAGGTTCGACTATCAAACTGCTAAAGTGCTCGAAAAAAAGTTGATGTAATCTTCAAATTCGTTGAAACATGTACTAAACTGAATGATCGGAGCATGTAATGTTGCTTAATATATCAAAGTAGACGTAAGGCGTACAAGGAGGAGTAATCCGTCGCCCGGCACCTTGTGAACAATGAGAGCCAGAGAGAAAGAGCTCCTATGTAAACATGCCGCTAATTTTGATTAAAATCCAAAGGCCGCGTGGTCCCTCACGTGACGTCACGTGACGTCACGTGAACTCTGTGAGACGTCACATGACCGATCACGCAGCCCTCCGCAGGACAGTGTTAAGTTACTTCCCTCCCTCACGTGACCCCGTCTTTGTCAGGTCATGGTTATAATAATTATTCCAGTATGATATTCACATATTCCTAGATGTCCGTGACTCTTCTTGGATGTTGCATGTTAAAGTGGGATTTTCTGAGATGAATATTTTACGTTGTAATAAAATAAATTTGCAATGTGCCCAGGCCCCACGTTTTAATCTAATCAAGAATTACTTCCTACAACATCATACATCTTCTTGAGTGTTGAAATTTGGTTCCTTTCGAAACTGAAAGCATGATTTGATGCATAAAAAGTATTGCTAGGGCGTCGTCCTTTAAGGGACGATAACTTGGGTAATTTATGTCATAAAATCCCCTTCCAGCGTGATCAAAAAGCTACTGAGAAGACTGTATATTTTTAGATCAGCATGCTGTAATCTCGTCAAATTTGTAACGACAAATTTTGACCACAAAATATTCCTTAGTGTCTACTGTCTATGTACTATTTTAAGGTTCAAGACGTTGTGCAGAAGGAAAACCATTTCAAGGAAACAAATTGCCAATATTTTGATTAAGCTATAAAAGGTCATACTCATAGTTTCCCCGAGACCCGGTTGTATACGAACAAATAAGAACAAATTGTAAAACTTAAAATCATAAAAAAGTACACCTCATACAATTATAGCTGTGAAGAGATCAGTAATTCCCTTCGATATGAACAGAAATGAATTTTAGTTCGCTTTCTGTGAACACAATTCACCAAATAGGTATTACAAATACAAATCTCAGTGAGATTTTGGTGTAATAGGAGCTTCATTTGTCGCTCACAATCTCTAACATAATTTCCTCCAAAATGTATAAATCAATTCTTACTAAAAATGTGATTATCAATACTTATAGTTTAGGCCAGGGATTTCCCAGGAACCTAGGTAGAGCCAGAAATGTGAGGAAAGAGAGAACATAAGATGAATGGAATTTTCAAGCCAAATACAAAAGTTACCGAGAAGATCAAGAAATGGTCTATGTTCTATATATTTATTATTATAGAGTAAAGAGGCCTTAACAGGATAATATTTTAAAGAGCTTCTCTTTGATCTAATCAGCGTCATAAATGCAAAACTGCAGGACAACAATCGAATCCGGCTATCATTTTTAATATTTGGCTATCTTAACTCTTAGGCCAAATCAGGATTCTTTATTAATTAAACTGAAAGTGGCAAAAGATGCTTCCTGTTTTAATAGGCATCAAGGAAAACGTTTCAGCTGGATCAATTCCCCTAAATCATCATGTTATTAAGATGTAGTCAGGATGTAGTCAGGATGTAGTCAGTAGGTAACCAGTAGGTAGAGTCACTAGGTAGAGTCACTAGGTAGAGTCACTAGGTAGAGTCAAGGATGAACGGAGCAGTTGTAAAACTGGATAAATACCTAAGGTCTACTATATTACATAATGGAACGTGCTGAAACAGTAACTGGTACGAAGAGAGCATGGGGACAAATTAAGTAAAAGTTATATTATACTTTACGTCTTTGATGAACTCTTTATTAATAAAAGAGCAGTCGCACATTACTGAGAATAAATGGTCACCTTCGCTATAACTGAATGAAATTCCCAGTATAAGATCAAAGATAGTTCGACTTATTTAACGGACATCTCAGAAACAAGCCGTACGTAAACCTCAAAATCTGGACGGTTAAATTTAGAGTTAATATTAATAAACATATGCATATATCACGATGGTGGAGCAAATAGTTTTAATTTAATGGTTAAACCGCGAGCTAGTGCTACGATCCAGGGTGATCCTCATTAACTTAATGTGTCAAGCTGTCTAAGAGTGGGTGCCAGCGAGGAAGCTTGGATATTTAATACGAATTTTATGTGAGAAGACGTTCAGGAGTCAGGTCCCTCTCAAGAAATAGACAGGTTTTAATTGCACTATGTCATCTGACTGTGACCGTGCGAGTCACGCGATTACCTTGTAAACCAGCGGTTCAATCACAAATCGGTTTTATATCATGTTAAATATAAGCAAAAAAATCTTGCGGGATCGGCCGACAGCTGGACAGGGTCACGTGGTGTTAAATGAGATTGTAATAAAACGGTATCAAGTCACGTGGTGTAAGTAAGAGCTTGTGATTGGACAGTGGGTATATGGTCAACGTCTTAAACGAGCTACCGTTTTAGCATTTAACCTTCCACGGAGGTGACTGACGGTGACCCTCACTTTTCTGTGAGGGTTATAACGGGTCAAGCTCCTCGACGTGGCTTTCAAAGTTCAAACGTTATGGTAAATATTTGGCACGATTTGTTAGCGTTAACGTTATAAAGAACAGTTTATGGTATAGAAAACAGACTTCTGATGGATTTCATGCAATCATGTCCTGGAGATCAATGAAACTAATAGATGTTAATAAAGGGGACCAATATGGTATGCAATTTAGAATGGTCCGCCCTATTTGAATCATCAGGCTACTTGTAAGATGACATTTAATAAGATACTAATTGGTCTACCGTCCTAAAGTAAATGAGCCACGTCCACCACGAGAACTTTCTATTATACCGCAAAAACAACTTTAAAGGTAAATAAAGGTAAGTGTCACAAACTGATCACAATATGTGGTACAGTGAAATTTACCAAACTAATCAGCAGGTTTTAAAAGTCGAAGCAATTTAAGTAAACCGAAAAGTATGCGGGGGAAATTAAATTAAGTTAGATAACGATTAAAAGTTAAAACTGAGTGGTTTTATATTACTCGACTTGTGACCAAAACACGTAAAACTTCACATCTAGTGTGCAGTTATGCTCATCAGAAACACACAAATTCCCCGACTACTGATGTAAGCATACAATAGTTTGCTATTATCCTGATGTGGCCAATCAACACTGCGCGTTCCACCAAATTAACAATCAATTCACCTAATCAAGGCTTAATTGCGTTTGGCGGAGCTTCAAATTATGGTTTTCCTATATCATAATAAACCACAAATATTAGACTGTTTCAGTGTTAAGAAAATTAGAAATACGTCTAAGTGGTCAGAGAAACGAATAGATCCCCAGCCACAAATAACGTAGCAAGAGGCACAGAAATAGATACAAAGGCTGCGGACGAGCCATTTTATTATTTTCAGCTGATTGCCGAACTAATGTATATTATTGCTGAGCTGATATGTTAAATCACTCTACAAAAAAAGCTAAAAATGCTCATACAACGTCTAACGAAGTTAAAGATAAAATCAGCGTCGCGTTTGTATACCGTTTATGCCTCCATTGGTAGAGCCTTGCACTGCAGAGAATCACCCCGAAAAACCCAGCGAAAATCAAGGTAAATTGCAGGTACCGTACACTTTGAGAAACTCGTAATACTGCATAGTGCACTTTACCCAAGTATGTGTCAAGTGCCTTCGTTCAAAACAGCGCCGAATGTTCTGAGCATGTTGCCGGTCACCTGACGAGCAGGATGTGTTTTGACTGGCACGTTGCCAGCTTAACTTATTCTCATTGGCCAGGGTCGTTGCAGGTCGACGGTGGGCCGGAAGATGTGGTAGTAAAAACAATGAATATATTCACATAGGTTAACTAAGGCGCTGGATCAGGTGATATCCCGGCAGTGGTTCTAGAATGACTGAAGTCCAGGGAAGGAAGACGGTTCTTAAGATTCTCAATCTACCAGGAACTTGATTTGAATGCAACAACCAAAGAAGGTCTGATTGATCATATTAATTTTGATCTTCTGGAACCTTTCCTAAAATATGGTTTGAACCTCTAAGGTCAGTTGTTGTTGCCCCTAAGCCGGCTAGAAAACTCGGAGTATTTTCTATTTTCTAAATAACTTACAACATTCAAAGTTCTAACGCTAAATTTAAATCACCCACGAAGCATATATCGCTATTTCCCCTGTGAAAATTCAGAAGACTACTATACTCTAAACTAGAACATAATTTCTTGATCGCCCACGTTGCGTATAGCAACATTTCAAAGTGGTAGCGAGTATTACGGAGCATTAAAATTGTGACAAATCAAACATTACCTCACGCAGCAATAAAGTTCAAAGGACGCGTTTTGACATACTGAGAATTAATCAATTGCCGATCCTACTGTATAACAACATTTCTCTGTCAAACGAATGACGTCAAACATGCCCTAAAAACGCAGTATTCTTGATTAAACCGGTAATTAAAGTAATCAGCAATCAGCATCTGTTGCAATCAATCATTAAAATTGGTTTGTCTCAGCTACTGCTCGTGCAGAAGCTCGCAAAACCTCATCTCAAATGGCAAAATTTCCAAATAATAACAAATAACTGAATTAAAATTAGTGTACAAATTATTGTTTGGAAATGGATGGTACGTGTTGAACTCTGGCAGGATACTTGACTCTAATTTCATCATAATTTTGCCAATACTGATAAGTGCAAATTTGACGGAAAGCTAGATTACATCCATCAGTTTTGTATGTAAAAAGTAAAAACTGAAAGGGATGCAACTACCGGTTCGATCATTTTAAGATCAGAGCTTTGCTGATTTAAATCAATCAACAACACTGACATATGCGGTAGTTATTGTAATAATATTAATAATATGAAATATTGTAAATATTAATGACAAGTAATTACATCAATAATCAGCGGATTGATGACAGCTCCTACTTAGCAGTCTGGTTGTGCATAGTCTTGAGAGCCACATTGGTGCTCGTCCCGAAGGTGTTCCCATACGTAAACTTTTCGCCGGGGATATGGCCAGTGTAGTGGGGCACCATCCCGCTGTCCGCAGGATAAAGGACTTTTCGGTTTAGCACCGGCTTCTCCGCCGGTTTTCCGAGGAAGGGGACGTGGCTTTTCATCGCAGCTTGCTGGCGCTCCTTCTCACGGTAGTCAGCTATGGCCTGCTTCGTCATTGAGGGGTAACCCATAGAGATCTTGTTTCGAGACATGGGAAGAAATCCAGTGTAGCCGGAGATGTGATAGTCGATCGTGTGCGTCCTGTATGAGTTCTTTTTGCTGACAAAAGCGTCAGCTGAACAATTGACCGGATTTAAAGGTACGGCGCGAAGCCTGTTTTCCAAGATTCGCTGTCTCTCCTTAGCTTGAGTAGTGAGTGAATTGTGGTGGTCCCCCTTAGCGTAGCTGCATGCCGTAACGTAGGGTAGTCCGAACCAGTGCTCTCCTTTAGGAATGTAGCCAGTGTATCCGGGAACCAAGTTGCTTCGGTATTGAGGAGTTTTCTCTTTTACCGGCTCAATCTTGCAAAGAACCAAGTTTCCGGAACTGTTGTCCTTGTCTGTGAGAATTTCGTGAGTTGTCTTGCTAAAGGTGCCCCCAATCTTGTACTTCCTTTGTGGAATGTAGCCCCCATATCCAGGAATGTGGTATGGGCTGGCTGTTACTAAAGAATCAGTGTTAAACGCAGCAATGTTAACCGCCATATTAACGAAGTATACGGTATGTGATTTGAGTAAAAATGAGTAAAATTCACACGCACGAAGCTTGTTGCCAGCGTTGCCATGGCGCGCGATGTAATTTACACGTGCAAATTCGTGACATTCCCACGCTTTTATCAATATTTGATACTCACGGCTATTTGTTCAATTGTCTTCCTGCGAGTAATTGTTGGAAACCTTAAAGGGTGCTCTTTGACAGTTTCGACTTAAAAAGATTCTTAATGATCTTTATGACTGTCAGCAACGTCAGCCACCGTCTCCGCGATTGTCATGATTTCATGATTTTAGAAACCTACTGAAGATTTAAAACATGATAAACTGTATTATTGCAAAATTACCAAAATAAGAAAGCTACAAGTAATAGCAGCATGTTAATCATAAAAAGATTACAAAATTGTCACAAAATAACAATGTTTAAGCGCTGATTCTAACTATGACTATGAGTACATTAACATAAAGCACTAAAGCACTAAGCAGCATTGAATCATTGCAAAGTAGTTTCCTTAAAGCAGACTAGTCGAGTCTCAACAACGATCTATACCACACAGAAAACTGCAACCCTACAATAACTAATTTATGTACACCACTAATGAATGGACCAATAGCAACAACACGTAAAGCCTAGCACTCTAGCACCCTTACCAGCAACAAAACTACAGCAGTAAAAGAACGTATGACTTAAGCGGAGAGAGAGAGCTTGAGAGTGGTTTGATCCAAGGACAACAGATTGCACATCTGGTACACGAGTGTAATTTAGAGATGCACCTTCGTACGTGTGGTTCGGGAGAAAACAGCTTGTTTCTCCGAATTGATGATGTTGAAAGATTGTTAATGGGGGCCTGTAATTTGAGGAATATTCGTGGAAGTATTTGAAATACACTCTGACAGCGCCTCGTTGTGGTACAAGGAGAAAGGAACCTAGTTACACTACAGTCAGATCACCAGGGACGCGGGACTAAATCGTATTTACTGGAACCCGATACCGAGTCCCAACGCCAGCTGATAATGATCTAGGATCAGGTGGCTAACTCGTGACCTTACCATGACAACACACGTGCAACCACTGATCCTTATTCACTGGCTGGAGATGGTCACATGATCAGAAGTTGGATAATTGATTGGCGCACGGCTGGTAAGGTAGGCCCCAAACGGTGGAAATGTAATAATTTGATCCTGTAACACAGTTTCTAAACTAAAGGCTAGAGATGTAAAGGGTTGGGGGAGTCAACTTCCAAAATAACCATTACCACTTTATAGTGCAGTCATGACATGTCGGTCATGATATATTCGGGATCACGGGTTGTGAGCCGGATTTACAGTTTACACCTTCGTTATCAGTAAGAATTGACAGCATGTTCATTGTTCAGTGCTGCAAACTCCCTGCAAACTCATATCACGTTTAAATCAGGAATAGACTCAACTGGTTACCCGCTGTCTCCAGTCTCAACAAATTGAGTTGTAACGAATGTGTGAGTATAATTCGCAAAATTTTTGTAACCTTTTCCGTGGAATTTCAAATTATTAAACAGTTTATGTCGGGTTTCAGAAATTTTGGCGTCCACCACAGTAAATTACAGAAATTGTATCCTTCTAAATTAATCAGTTGACGTTTCATATTGCCTAGTTAAACTTTTGACCGCCCCTTCCCTGATATGGCCAAGATCTAGGCGTTTCAGGATAAGTGTTGGGATTTTAGGTGTTAGACTAAGGGTGATGGTTTGGGTTAAATTTCCACGTCACCTGTGGTGAAATGAAGACATGCACCTAGCAAGTATCTTACTAGTCATTACTACATAAGTCATAACTTAAAAAGTTACTCCGCATAAAGATTTCACTAGCATTCCCAATTCCCATTGGTAATCACTAACCAGACTAATCTTGTCAGTAGTTGTACTCCCAGATCTCAGCTAAACTGAGCTTCGTAATAGACATCTATTTGGTCACTAAGAACGACAGTAACTCCTGATAACACCTGACAATCACCACCAATATCCCAAATATTATCGACCTGTCAGAACACGAAATACAGACTAGAACTGATAACTGATCAGTGATCATATCAATATCCCATCCCCGACTGCAACAATTTCAAAACTTCAAAGTAAAATTCCCCACGTTAAATCATCCCGGCATATTTGACGCGCCTAAATGCCCTAAATAAGCCATCAAGTTTAAATGTCCGGTAACGTAAACAGCTCCACAACACGCAACATTTCAAATGATATCTGGGCTCTGTGATGGATATATCATAGTATCATGACAGATACGTGACAGGATCGGAGGCTGCAGTAAGCTAGACGGAGTCTATGGAAGCCTTAAGATCATGATCGGAGTTATCTTCATCTTGTAATTGTAGCTTTGATGCCGGATTGTGGTTGTGGGGATGAAACCGGATACGAACAATATGAAGCTACTTTAAAGACTTCGTAGTGGTTACTACACCGGGGAGGAAGCTTCCAGAAGTTCTAGAAGCTTCCTGCCAAATCCACGACTTTATGTCACATGTCAAAACAAACATTACTCATACATATCTTCAGCAGCGTCAGGCTCATCAATTACTGATGAAGGGAATACTAAAAATAAACTATTGTAGGCATGATAAATTCCGGTTGCTTATAATTTGCGCTTTTTCATTCCATTCTAATCTAAGAAACAGACCTCAGACTATATATGTAAGAATTACGTCTAGTAATAGACGTGAACGTAGACAACTACATGTCATCACACTACTACCTTATCAGATATCTGGCCTTCTAAATGACACACCCTGATATAGTATACCCTATACTAGGTATATCATACATTATACTACCATATATAGTATCTATGCCACCCTGTAACAATCTGCCTTGTGACGGAGAAGTCGCCAAATTGATGTCGACTGTAAAATTTTAAAATTAGCAAGCCCAAAACATTGGTACAAAATTATTATCACCAATAATTTTAGTCAAGTCACTACCCAATGCAACTTTTACGGATCTTCAAGTTCAACGTGTTAATTGTTATTTAAAAGTTCTGCTTCGTCAAAACAGTCCTGGCTTCCCGGGAGGAACTTTTCAATTCAATTTGACGACTCTTCATGAATAGACGTCGTTGAACATACTATTCTTTAGTGATGCAGTGTATATTCTATTTTATACTATCGGCTTATGGCCATGCTATTGCTAATCTGCCATGTGAAGGAGAATCGCCAGAATAGTTTATATAACATCTATCTACAATAAGAAATACCGTAAAACAAACATATTGCAAAGTAATGATCATCAAAAATTTCAAGCCAAAATGTTTTGGCCTATCAATTTATTAGTTAAGTTTTTGAATTTTTCCTTAAATCCAATTCAACTTTTATAAAAATTCAAAGCGTAAATTCAGAACCCTGATGAATAAAAACAGTTAAAAATGAAACTCAGGGTACGAATTGAAGGGGAATGAATTAGAAGAGACTCAGAAGAGACTTAGAACATGACTTTTAACTTTTAAGTCCTGTGACTCCTTTGTATGAATAGGAGGCGTTAAACTTGTTATTATTATTGATAATGTCATGTTTATTTTAATTCTAGAGCGGACCAGACATATCAGTATTGCAGAAGCACTAGATATTATTGGGTCTATATGCCCCGGTTGAGAAAAATGCCGCTTGACGTTACAATTAAATTACGCTGAAATCTAATAATTAAGAGGCCTGCTATTCGCGGTCGTGGTATAAAAGAATGACGTGAGTAAGAGTATGACTGTAAAACAACCCGTAACAACAGCCACGATTTGAGAAAGCAAGCGCTGAAAGCAAAAGAAAATATCACAATATCAAATCACAAATACAGAATTCAACTCAGTTTTAAACAGAAAAAAAAAACGTAATATGAAGCTGAAATTGAATCGCAAAACAAAATTTCTCGTGAAATCAAATTTCGCGATGAGTAGCAAGACTTGACAATTCTAGCAGAGTTCAATGATGACAGACAAATATGAAATAAGTGTAATATCTTCATGATAAGTAGGTGTGGTGTTAGCTAATGGATCCAATATTGAGGTCAGTAGAACAGGCTACTAAACAGTTTCAGCCAAATACACGAGTGTATTTTTTGTGTAAGCCTGTACTCGCATAAAGTGAGGCCGGTGTAGAACGTTAGCGAGTCGAGGAGGTGAGTTTGAAGGATTGGGTGAAATGGGGAGTCATTTCTTTTACGGGCCTCATAGAGTTAACTGGGGACCTCAGGCTATAATTGTGTTCATAATCAAACCGAATAGAGATTCGGTGGAATGACAGGCTGAGCGCCGCCCAGTAATCATAGAGTTGCAGTTAAACCGATATCACCAAAAATGGCCAAAGTATTAGTTAGCCGCAGTCACCGGCGCGACGACCGCGTCTAACTCAGCTCAATACAACTAACATCGACAACCGTCGAAGTAGAGAAATATACGGCGTACGATTAGCAGCTAAGAAGCAAATTACAACACAACATGCATCAATAAGAGCATATATTCCAGGTATGATAGACCGGTCTCCGATACACCACGGTCCGCCAGGAGAGCAGGTAGCTTATATCATTAATATAATATATAATATTATATATAAGATTTATTTATCACGAGTGTTATCGGTGACAGTGGTGATCGGAGCAATGCTGGGACGGATTCCGAGGAGTGGTTCAATAGTATCACTAAATCCGGGGAAGGGATCACTCATTGTCTTGATTGTGCTTAATTTGTTGTGTTGGTTCAACAAAATTTCCAAACACAATTCGCCTTAATTGATTATTTTTAAGAATCGGAGAATCAAGTTTTAAAAACCCAAATTTTTCACATCATAAATTCAAGATAATAAATATAATTAGCTCAATTTCCATAATTTAACCCACCATGCTATTAATATCATGGCGGCTTAAATTATGACCGTTAAAAATATTGGCCGGTAAAAATAGGGGGTGCCCGAAAAACCGCCACATTTTAACGGTCATTATAATATCATCGAGTACGGTTAACACGTAAACAATGCCGTCCAAAATATTTTGCTGGCTCTATAGTCTATAACATGTCAA